TCGGCACATTAAAGCTTCATCTCCGCCAAACTTAACTGCACAAGAAGAAGCGTACATGACGAAGGCCAAATTGCTAAAACCACTAAAAAACAGTCGGTAGGCTTCTGTAGGCACAAGGTTGTTCACAAAAAAGGTGGCGTAACTTTTTATCAAAGTTCCCAACAAATCCAATTCCAAAAAAATGAGTCGTTGCATACAGACCTCCGCAAGACACACTGGGACCTGCAAAGAGGACGCAAGATACGGTCGTGCGGTTGTTGGAATTGAACTTAACTGGCGGCAGTAAAAGCACTTCATTGGGGCAAATGTCAGAGCATCCAAGAACCGAAGCGTTCCATCGGAGCAGTGCGTCGCATCGCCATATACATGGAATTGCATAGCATCAATATGCAATAAATTTCTTGTGGAAGACGCCTTCCATACTGATTCCAGTACCCCTATCGACACATTCACACGTGAAGCGTCACTTGTTGAACTTGTTTTTGAGTATAAAATGCCGCTAGGGCACGTCATCGTCAATACACCTCCTTCCACATGATCTGTTGAAAACTCAAACGATGATATGTTCGCATGCACCAAAGGAAAACCACACGTTTGTGCCCCTCTCCACGTATTCATAGTTCCCAGCTGCATGCGGAGATTTAAGGGTTCAAAAGTAATAACGACAGCCAAGAGATATGTCCGCTGTAATTTTAGCGCGGAATTAAACTCCTCTTTTAATTCAGCCTCACAACACACCTCTGCGAAAGACTTTTTTATCTGTGTGTTACCCGTTGTTGACTGCACTCTTGATACAAAGCCTGGCATGTTACTAACCCGTAGTAGGGCATCGTTCCACTCAGTTCGAACGTGGCACAAATACTCCCACAGCGCATTCGATACATTTAACGTCACCGCAGACACCAAGATATCCTCCTCTTCAGTCATTTCCACCTTCATGGGTGATAGCACGTCCGTTTCCTCGCCAAAACGCACAGACAATTCCTTCATCAAAAGACCCACACGTGAGTCACCGGATGTTCGCTCTATATGCGTCAGGGATAGTTGCTTCAAATGCAACCGCAAATCATCCACATGAAAATCTATCAATGGGAAAACAAAACTTGTGGTTTTTTCACATCGATTACTCAATTTAGTCTCCGGTGCATTACAATTTGTTTCTGGAATCGCCCGCAGAACGTGTGGCATGGCAACCATGATAGGCTGAACCAATTGCAGCATCCAATTAGATGTGGTGATAAAACGCAATGCTTCTAACGTCGTCCTGACAAAAGTCATGCCATTGCTTTCGGTTTGCTGAAGAGAAAAAAACGGTTCCCCGGAATCCGGCGCCCGTAGCAGCTGAGACTTTCCCCCCGCAACCAATGTGACATTCCCAACCGAAAAATTGGACTCCCCGCGGCGCTTCACAAACGCGACATCACGCAGCCACACCGTTGTTTCAGCAGGCAACCGCACGCACGTAATTTTCGCGTCCACGTGAAGAGACGAGACAACAACGAATTGACGAGCATCTGAAGGCTGCGTCGGCGGCGGTGTCACACCCGCCCCTGTACTGCCAGCAAGTACCGTCGTGGAGTATCTCTCTTGAACCTTGCGCCTCAAAAATAACACCACATCACGATAGCGAATATCACCCTCAATGTCGGCCAATTGCTCCCTCTTTTCCGCAATGTCCCGTGTGCGATGGCAGTAATCCAAGAGCGCAAGATACGACGTGCGGGCTTCGGCGTAGAAGTGAAGGTGCGACGAATTAAAGTTGTAACGCCTCCTCCTGTCCCGTATAAAAGCGAAGACACAACTCTTGGCGTAGGACCAACGTGAACTCAATGAACGCAGCTTATAAAACGGACGGCAATACTCAGGAACCTCTTTCATGATCCCATGGCTCACGGCGCACCTTGTGAGAGACCGCAATGCATCCTCATCAAAAAACAACGAGGATACGCCGTCAAAAACAATGGCAACGTTCTTGCGACAGAGAATACCCGCAGAACTGTACACGGAGGTAATGCGCATACTGAGATGATCAATTTCCACGATCTTTTGCGGTTGCTCCTTAGCAGCATTTGCACACACGGCAACCCCACTGAAGGCGATAACGATAACCTTCATAAGCTCAGCACCGGCCTCCAATGTAGGCTCAATTTTCACCATGATCCCGCTCACCGTAATCTCAAAGCCCACGTCAGAATGTGAATCGCACGGCCACACAACACAGGGGTTCTTCAACTGCACGTGAATGGGTCGATTCGTGACCCACGACACGGAACGACTGGCGGCATTGACAAGAAACAAAAAAAAACTTTTCCATTCTGTGGAAGGGATGTCAAATCCTCTTGAGAATCGCAAGATGCAAATGAAGTGTTACTGACACTCTGACACGACATGTAATCATCATCCTCCAAGCCGCGGAACAGTGCAAAGTTCATCCCTATTCTTCTACATTGAAGGCCACCACGACAGAACTAATGCAGCAGACACAAGTGCAGCGCAATATCCTTCACTATCCCGCGTTCCACCTTACTTCCCATGAGTGCCACGGCGGCGGTGCCTGCGTTACATCTGGGATGACTCCAAAATGCCAGGCGCCATGCTGTGGAGAGTGGATGCTTGACGAACGTGCCCGTGTTAGTGCCTAACACAAAACGACGTCAAGTAGAAAAACTATCCGCAACTCAAACTACCCGTGTGTGGCCGCAACAAAACAAACACTGAGAAATGTGCGGAGCAACGTAAAGAAAAAAAAAGAGAATAATCTTCTGGGCCGCTGGACGGATCCTGAAATTATCCAAAGAAACCAAACACGACAGGAAGGAAACAGAAGGTAAAGCAAGGGCAGTTCATTGCCTCAATGTTGTTTTCTGATTATATATATATATATTCTTTTGACCCCTCACTTGGACTTTTGCACTCAGATAGGATCTGAAATATTATTTCTTACGACGTGGCGGACATTGGACTCCTCCAACCACAGGACCCCGCCGCGAGGTAGGAAACAAAAAGGGGACGGGTAGAATGGAGAAATAGAAAAATATCTGGCACCTATCGGTTCCATGCCCCAATAAATTCGTGTTCTCCCCAAGAATTCATAAGATAGGAAAAGTATCATAAAGGAGTGCATTCGTTTATCAGGATATGTATATATATATACTAATTTCGCCAGCTCTCACGCGATCATTCTCTTCACAAGTTACTAGAAAAAAAATAAATGGTACAATAGCCCACAAGAATACATCGATATAAAAGCAAAGTAATACGTCATTCCGCATAATTCTTCGTTCATTCTCTCGTTGTTCCTTCTACACAGCATCAGAAGCATAAGGAGCGGCAGGAATGCCCTCCCACACAGTCATCGTGCAACAGGAGGGAGAGTCACTGCAGGCGCCCGCACAAACAAATAGAAACAAACCAACAATCCATGACGAGGTCAGGGCGGAGTCCGATGGGTGGCCGCGCAGCTGCACAGCCGTGGCCCTCACGTCTTCCCTCATGTCAGCCAGCAACGCACACTCACAACCTCCAGAAATTGACGCGTCACAGAAGGGCCTCATCGATTGTTTTCTCTAACGTTTTCCTGAATGCATCCTATGGCCCGCACACCAGCCACCACCGTCGAGCACGTCCTCACTACTAAGTACAGATATGAAATAGAGAGAGCAGCAGCCCCCATATTCGGTGCTGCAGCGAAGAGCGTAAAACACACGCACACACCCGTTACGCATCCACGCCGGGCTAGCGTGATAGCTCGATAATCCGTTGTCATCGATAATCGATAAAAATAAAGTAAAAGCAACGAAGCAATCACCCAATCAATCTATGAATAATGGAAAGAAGGAAGATACTCTCCAGAAGCGTCTACGTCATGCCGCATTTGCGAGGGGCTTTGTACCTTCTCGCCGCGTAAAGAGACTGTTGGGGTCGGAGCCTTTCCACTTCAAAAAAAAGAAAAAACTGCGCTACATTTTTCTTCAAGCAGAGCATCTTCACCTGTCCAGGAGGACGTGATCAATTATTCAGCTCGCAATGGATGCACCGTCGAACAAGCTCAGAGCGTCTGAGCGGATGTCACCGGTCACAGACTGCAACGGCGGTGCGGGTGGTCGGTACGACGACGCAGTGGTGGTGCCTAATGCGTATGAAGATGACGTCATGTCATGGAGCTTCTGCGTCTCCTCGTCGCTCTCCTCGTCATCGCGCAGCAGTGCCTCCAGCCCACCACGCCGCGGCTCGCGCGGCTCCTTCAAGTAGCGGTCCTCCGCGTACCACACAACGACACTGTACACAGTGACCGCAAGCACTGCAGTCGCCAGCAGCAGCACGATCGCCGCGTACGCCTTCGCACCGCCGTCGCTCGGCGCAAGGTGGTTGGCCGCGCTGACCACGCACAGCACAGCAAGGAGCACAAAGCTCGCAGTGTGCATCACCGTCAGGAAGGCCGAGCGCATCATGTTCGTGAAGGCAACCACGCCCGCACCCGCAAGCAGCACAGCCGCCATGCAGAAGTACTGGACGTGGCAGCCTCCCGCAGGCGGCTGCACAGCCGCAATCAGGCACACCACACACAGCACCGACAGCCGGAACACGCACCAGTACACGCGGCTGCCCCTCATGTTCGTCAGCATGCCGCCGTACATCCGCTGCTGCGCCGCGGGATACCAATACCCGACGGGGTACAGCAGGCGCTCGTGCAGCGGCTTCCTCGAAAACTGCCAGTACCTCGTAAAGCTCGAGCCCACGTGGCGGGCAATGAAGTAGCACACGCCAGCAGGGAACGCCACGCCGTACAGCACGCCGACAACACCGATCACGCGGTGCTGCACGCGGGCGCCGGGCATCGCCAGTGCGAGTACGGAGCCGAAGAATATGCCGAGGTGCATCGCGTGCGCCACAACGTACGTCAGGCTCGGGAAGCGCATCGCCGCCCACGCACTCGCCGCGTCCACACCGCGCCACCGCTGGAAGGCGGCCGTCACACCGCAGTGCACGCACCCGAACACAGCGGCGAGCAGCGCGTTGCCCACCACCATCCACAGCGGGTCAAGGGCAGCAAACACCGACAGGAAGTACGGCAGCGCAACGGTGCTCGCACGCTCCTGTGCTGAAGCGCATGGCATCCTCGCAAACACGCCGAGCGCCTGCATCTCCAGAATGGAGCCCAGCCCGCCGGTCACCAACACGGCAACAGCCGCCGCACCCGCAACAACGCCGGTGATCGCCGAGAGGGCGCTGGCAGCGGCGGGCAGCGTGTCAGACCTGATCGTGAAGGACCCAAGCAGCACACCCTTGCAGCCGCCGGACACCGCCACAGGGTCGCAGCGAATGACTATCGTCTCGTCGGCAACAATGAAGTAACCGCGGTGCACGGGCACAGCCAGCTCCAGGACGGTGGACGGATTCGTCGCGTTGCGCACCCACGTCGCGTTGCGCAGCATCGCCCCCCACGGACCGCCAAACCCGCTCGGCTGCACCGTCGACACCGGCACGAAGCTCAGGTGCGTGCCGAGCTGCGGGTCGCGCGCCCACCGAAACGGCGGCGGCAGCGCCACCATCAGCAGCGTCGGGACGGCGCTCCCATCGCCACGGATGTCGTTCTGCGTCAGGCCTCCTCCAGCCGCCGTCGTCGTCACGGCGGGCGTCGGGCACGCCACATCGCTCCACCACAGCGTGCTGCTCACCGACGCCGTCGGGGTCCGCGTGGGCGGCAGCGCCACCGTCTCCGTCACCTGCAGGGTCTCCGTCGGCCCGTAATGCGTCGGACTGTAGTGCGTCGTGCTCTGGCTCGGTGTTGGTGTCGGCGTCGGGCTGCGCGTCTCCGTCAGCGTCGCCGTGTGGCTCAGCAGCGGCGGCCTAAAGAGTGTGCGGTTGCACCCGTCCACGTGCGGCAGGTACACCGGCAGGCAGTCGCGCCCGTACCCGCCCTCAGCACAGCGGCAGCCGCACGACCTCGACATCGTCCTCGTCGCAGCTCCAAAGCAGCGCACGTCGGCGTCGCACACGCCACACGCCACGGGGCGGAATTCCCCGATGATGCCGGCGGATCTGTAGTCCATCGGCCGCAGCGCCTGCCCGTTCAGCGTCAGGCACCCCACGACGAACTTTCCGCCGGCACCCCCGAGCGCAACGGTGCCGTCCATCACGACGGGCCCGCTGCCGGCGTTCCCATGGAGCGTCAGCGTGCTCTGCACAAGGTCCGCACTGCGCGGGTACGACGGCAGCGACAGGAGCCTGCCGCTGATGCTGTTGCCGCGCACCGACAGCCACGACCCGGACACAAACGACACCGACCCCCGCAGCACCAGCAGCGCGCCATCGGTCAGTGCACCGGCGTTGTCGTTCACCACGACGGCGGACGCGTTGGCCTCCACACCGCTGTCGAACACCAACCCATGCGCGGCGTACACCTGGCTCCCCGACACGCGCAGCACAGCGCCCCCCGAGGCAACCACGCGCGCACTCGCGTACAACGCATATTCGCCACCGAACACAGCCGCGTCCAGCGCAACACCGCCACCGACAAGCTCCAGCACCGCGCCGTCCACCACCACCGTCCGCCCACCGGTCACCACGGTCACGAGAGCAACGCCGGACACAACCAGCACGGACCGCACGAGCCGCAGGCCCGACAGCACCAGCAGCGGTGCGTACGGCGAGGACTGCGAGCCGAGAAGATACACAAGCGGCGTCGGCCTCGTGGCAACCAGCAGGGAGTCGGTCACCGTCAGCACGGACCCCGCGGGATACGTGCCGGTCAGCACAAGCGCACCGTTCAGCGCCTCCACATCGCACACCGACAGCTCCACCGGCCCGCCCTCGTCGCTCCCCGCCGTCCCCGCACCGCGCAACGCTCCACCGCCCATCACGTACAGCACGGCGCCGTTACGCAGCGAAACGTTCTGCACAACGATCCGCACGCCGTCCCGCGCCATCCACGGCACGTAGAGCACAGGACTCACGCCGTCCAGCACAACGTGGCGCAGCGTCGCCTCGCTCGCACCGGCAGGCACGACGAACACCGATTGCACCGTCACACCCTCGCGGACGAACATACTCGACGCGGTGCCCACAGCAGGCGGCAGTGCGGGAGCTCCCACAGGCACGCACGCCTCGCCGTACCCGCCGCTGCCGCACACGCACACGCACACACCGTCCGTCAT